TTAATGCTTATGCATTAGGTGTGCCTGATTGATCAGAAAAAAAAGCAACAGTGTTTAAACAAATACTGATCAACATCTATAATGAAAATACATGCACATGACTTGTACTATTTGAGCTTACAGGTAGGACTCTGAGCAAATGTTATTTGCCCCACCAATGCAACCAATATCACACCTGTAAGATAAGAAACAAACCCAGTTATAGCTAAATAAATGTTATTAGGATCTTATATCTTGTCTAAGTGACAGTACATTGTTAATATGAAGATTGATTTTACAACAAAATTAATTTTACTTAACATCAACATTCATGAATATCTAGTTATAGTTACACAGTTTTTAAGAATGAAAATTATTATTTTAATGTTTTAATACCTGAACATTAACTAATGAATAAAGAAGCACAAATTTCACAATTCACCACTATAAGGAAGAAACTAAAGTAATTCCATGATATACAATTATACTTCTAAAAGGAAGAAGACCAATTCCATGAAAGACAATACTACTAAGATGCTGGAAATGAAAAGTTAATAAGAGAGAGCCAATTAAAATTTTGGAAACCTTTCATTGAAGACAATTTCCTTAGCATAATTAAGAACCTGAAAGTCAAATTGAATTTATGGCTTTCCAGCTATGTTTATATGCTCTTAATGGCATCTCTACTGTGTGTCCCAACTGGTTTAATACACAGCATCAGTATAATGCTTTCCATTACAAATGCAGTTGCCAAAATTATTCAAACACAACTATTTTCCTTTCTATGAAAAAAAAAAAAGAAAATTAAAAACAAGATAAAATAAAAAGAGCACGGTCATGCTCTAACTTTCTGCAGTAGGAGGCTGACTTAATTTTATTGACTTTGTCGCAATAGGAAAATCTTTCACTTATAGCATGGATAAGTAGGTTTAGTGGTGATCAACACTGACAACTCACAGAGAGTATAAATTACTATTTTTCAGAGTGCGGTGGCCTCCATGCAACTATAATGCTGATTATCCATAAAATATATTACATTTAATTACTTAATATTAATTT